CACCCCAAATCCTGGCCCCAAAGATCCCCTAAAATCCCTGCTCTAGGAGCTCCACTTAGACCCCAAATCCCTGCACTGGAAACTCCCAATTTCCCCCCAATTCCCGTCCCACTGCCTTCACTTTGGCACCCAAATCCCCATTTTACACCCACATTTTCACCCTGGGAACCCACCTGCCCTCCAGCCCCTCATCCTGGAGGAGGAATCCACGGGGTTCCCTGTTCCCAGCGTGTCCCCTCCATGTCCCCACAGTGACCAACAGCATCTGCCACGGCTGCCCACGCTGCAAAGGCACCAAACCCACGGACTGCTGCCACGAGCAATGCGCCGCCGGCTGCACCGGCCCCAAGCACTCCGACTGCCTGGTGGGCACGGGGCGAGGGGGGCACCGGGGGGTTTTGGGGGTCCTGGGGGKGTTCAGGGGTCTCAAATCCACCGTGTCCCCCTTTCCAGGCATGCCTGAACTTCAACCGGAGCGGGATCTGCGAGCTGCACTGCCCTCCCCTCGTGGTCTACAACTCGGACACYTTCGAGTCGATGCCCAACCCCGACGGGCGCTACACCTTCGGTGCCAGCTGTGTCAGCCAGTGTCCCTGTGAGTGACACCCTGGGGTGGGCATGGGGTGGCCAGCGTGGCCCTGACCCCCCTATCTGCCCCCTCCAGACAATTACCTGGCCACCGAGGTGGGCTCCTGCACCCTGGTGTGCCCCCAGAACAGCCAGGAGGTGACGGTCAACAACGTGCAGAAGTGTGAGAAGTGCAGCAAACCCTGTCCGGAGGGTGAGCAAAGAACACCCCCACATCGGGGTCTGGGGGGCTCTGGGGGGGCTCTGGGGACCTCGGGGGTGGGAGAGAGCAGCTTCCTGATGTCTTGGGGAGCTCTGGTGACACTGGGGTGTGGGTGAGCAGCTCCCTGTGATGTCTTGGGGGGGTTTTGGGGATCCCAGAGATGGGTGTGAACAGCCCCCAGCACAGCTCTGGGGACCCCAAGGTGCTGCTGTGCCCTGTGGGGGTCCCTTCATGGATGGTGGGGCAGTGTTTTG